GCCCGGTGCAGGGGCATGAGCGGGCGTCCCGGAAGAGGAAAAGCGCTCGGACCCGGGCCGGGCTGGGGCGAGGGCCGCGCCGGGCTGCGTAGGCGGAGTTGGCGCGCTCCCCGGCCGGGCTCCCGCCTCCTCCTGCCGGGGCGGAGTCAGCGTCTGAACCCGAGGCGGCTCGGCCGCAGGAAGCTTCGCGTTTCCTACTCCAGACGCAGAGGGCCGCGGCGTGGCTTTAGGGCCGGCCGATTTCTCGCGGCGAGCGGGCCCGCGGCCATGCCCTGGCTAGGTTGCCCTTCCGCTCCACTCTGGCCTGGGGCTGCTCCGTCTCGGGCGGCTTTGTTAGCGCCCGGCCGGGTGAGGTTGGGAGAGGGCAGTGGAGCTCAGGTCGGGAAGGTAGTCCCCTGCGGACGGCCGGGGCGTGGACTTAGTCTAGAGGGTCGTGGCTTTCTCGTGCTGGACAGTTTGCCAGGCCAGTCCTGCCTAACACTGCGACTGTGTCTCTACCATTTCAGAAAGATGTTCGTTGGTGGCCTGAGCTGGGATACCAGCAAAAAAGATTTAAAGGACTATTTTACTAAGTTTGGAGAGGTCGTTGACTGTACAATAAAAATGGATCCCAACACTGGACGGTCAAGAGGGTTTGGGTTTATTCTCTTCAAAGACGCAGCCAGTGTGGAGAAGGTAAGCCGGGTACCTCCTCTCGGTGCAGTGCAGTGCGGGGCTTGCCGTGTGAGAGGACGCTGTCCAGCACGGGTAGTGCGGGGCTGTGTGTGTGGCTGGGTGCTGGAGGGAGAGCGCAGGTTATGAATTTTGTGTTCCTGGTGTTTGAAGAGGTACAAGTGCAGACGGCATGGGTGAGTGACTGCTGGAGTAGCCCAGGAAGGTTGACATTTATTGTCTGTTCACGTGCTTGTTTGCGCTATGTGCTGACGGCCTCTGTTTAGATCAGAAAGGAGACCAAGGTTTCTCTGAGAGGCATTTAGCTCCACCTGGAAGAAATCCAGGAACTTAAGACTCAGAAAATAAGAAAAGAGTGGAGTGGGGATTCCATCCCCAGCAGGCCACCTCCAGCCTCTGCTTTTTTTCCTTTTTCTTACTGAGGGAGACAGAGCTAGGCGTTTTTGACAAGGTCTCACTATCACAATCCAGGCCTAGCCTCCAGTTAGCTAGAGAGCCAGGACTGCAGACATATGTTCCTGTGCCTGCTGGGTTCAGGGGGACCGCCCTGGGGTTCACGCAGCTCAGCCTCCCAAAGCTGCGGCTAGACTTCCATCCTGTGCGCTTACTGCTGCTGTGCTTCAGGGGGAGGTGGGCCTTAAACTGGGGCTGCTTGGTCAAGGAAGAGGGGCACCCGCATGGTAAAGGCTTGGGAAGATGTAGTCGAAAGTAAACCAGTTAGCTGTACTACAGGTTTGGAGAAAACACTTCGAGAATTCAGGGTGGGGTGGGTAGTCGGGAGGGGGTAAGCCGCGTTTGTGTACTTGCACTTGATTTTGGGCCTTATCCAGAGTCTTGCTGCCGAGTTAGAACCTGCCCCCACTTCTGTTCGAACAGGTCCTAGACCAGAAAGAGCACAGGCTGGATGGCCGTGTCATTGACCCTAAAAAGGCCATGGCTATGAAGAAGGACCCAGTGAAGAAAATCTTTGTGGGGGGTTTGAATCCTGAAGCCACTGAGGAAAAGATCAGGGAGTACTTTGGCGAGTTTGGGGAGGTGAGTGTGTGACCCAGGAGTGGCCCACCAGCTGCCCAGAGGCTGCCTTCCTGACTCCTGGTAACCCTGCCTGGTTGAAGCCAAGCCCTTCTCAGGGCTTCTTTTTCACTCTCTGACCTTCAGCAGGTCTTTCTATGGGTTCCTTGCCTTGGGGTAGTTGTCCTGAGTTTGCCGTATTTCTACAGATTGAAGCCATTGAGCTTCCAATGGATCCAAAGTTGAACAAAAGACGAGGTTTTGTTTTTATCACCTTTAAAGAAGAAGAACCTGTGAAGAAGGTTCTGGAGAAAAAGTTCCACACTATCAGTGGAAGCAAGGTGAGGTTTCTACCATTCTTCTCAGCTTCCTGTTGCTGGAGAGCTGGCCTTACAGGTATGGGTTGGAGCTGGGACTTGGGTCCGGGGGCTCTCCAGTCAAACCTTTCTGCTTTTCTGTAGTATGTGCTGCCATGGTGGGGCACATAGTTCTGCCCCTCAGAGTAGTAGGACTGTCATCACAGGATGTGAGGGAGGCAGTAGAGGAAGGGTGGCTTCTGTGACCCGAGCGTGTTGAGTAGTCTCTGGTTCTTGTTTTAGTGTGTTTTTTTTGGGGGGGGAGGGAGAAGTTTTTATTGCCTTAGGGCATGTGTGCTGGGTGGGTGGGACCAAAGAAAGTGAAAAAACGGCCCACTTCGCAGTTCCTTGTCTATTCTCCTGGGATCTTGGACATGTACATGTGTGATTTTTAAGCCATGTGGTTGGTTATGTGGGAATCCAGTGACATAACCACTAAGCTGTGCTGGTTCCTCTGGTTTTTGATTTAAAGTTATTCTGCAGATCTAGAGTGCAGGATGTATGAGGTCTGCAGTTCAAAGTCTCAGAAGAGTCTAGAGTCACTAATTTTCTCTATTTGCTCCAGAGCTTTTATGCTTCCTTCCACAGCCAAGTCTTTGGGTACCTCTATCCCCTTTGGAGATTCCTTTAGACAGCCCTAGTCCCAGGCAAAGAACCTTCCTAGAGCTTCCATGGTCTTGACCACCTTAAATCCAGAGTCAGTTTTGCCTTGACCAGAATGGAGGCATGGTAGTAGGACAACTCTTCCTCTGAACTCTGGTCAGGGACACAATAGTTCAGGCCTGAAGCTGGCAGTTGGGAGTTGAAGGTGTGGTGGGGCGTGGCAGGCTCTGGCTCAGGAGTGGCAGTCAGATAAGGTGGGACAGGTAGGGTGGGGTCCTGTAAGCCTCTATCCTGGCTAGTAGTTTGAAAGATTGGATCAGGGATTGGGCCTCGATTTGCTATAAAAATGATTTTAAGGCCAGTAGGGGAGGCATTAGTTATCTCTAGTGGACAGTGATACAGAGAAGTTCTTTTCTCTGCAAAACATGAGGTAGATGGGAAGAGCTTCCGAGGCAGCATCTTGATGCTGGTGGGTCTTAGGGGGTGTTCGTTCATTTGGTTGTATTCATTGTTTTTGGTTTAATTGGATAGAACATACCAAACTGCATCACATGGGGTAGGTGGGAGTAACTTACCAATTAGAAGTGTATGGGGATACAGTGTACAAAATGACTATTATTTTTTAAAAGAATTACTTCATTTTATTATTAACATTTTTTTCCTCATTTGACTGGAGACAGAAAGGGAAAGTGAAAAAGCAAGCCACCAGGTCTGGGACTCAAACCATGGTCAGCTATGTGGACGTCTAGCATCCCAACCGCCATGCTACCTGCAGGCCCATTTTTTTTTTTTTTTTACCCTTTTTTTTAAAAGAATTATTTAGCTTCATTTGTTTATTTTAATTGACCAGAGAGGAACAGAGCAAGAGAGAGAGAAAGTTTCGAGAAAGCAAGCCACCAGGTCCAGCACTTCAACTGCAGTCAGCCATGTGGGAGTCCAGCATCCTCAACCACCAAGCTACCTGCTGGCCCCTGCCCCGCACCCCCCCCCCTTTTTTTTAAAGAGATTTTTGCTATAGGGCGCTTTGCGCTCACTATGCCACAATTCCTTCTCCATTCTTGGGACCTTGGACACACACCTGGTGTGACTTAAGTCGCCGGGTCCGGGACTTGAACCGTATTTGATTATGTGGGAGTCTAGTGATGTGATAACCATTATGTCATCTGCTCGTCTCCCCGCCCCCGATTTTTTACCATTTTAATGGGTGTATTTCAGGGGACTTTGTTTAAATACGCTGTTGATTTGTTTAAGCAAGATCACTTAAAAATTCCTTACTGTACCTGCATCACAGCAGTCAGAATTTTAGACAAAAAGGAAACTGATTTTGCCCTAAGGAGATGCAGATATCCCACCATATCCCAAGGACCAGTGGATGGAGAAAGGGGGAGTTGTGTGGCCTTAGGCAATCCTCATTCTAAGCCTGAGAATATTTATCTGTAAGATGGAAGTCAAGGTTGCCTTCAAGTGAGTGCTCAGTAGGATGACTTATTCTTTACAAAGAACAAAAGAAAAATGAGAACTCCTACTGGAAAGTGTGGAGATGCCAGCTCCAGCCCACTCTTGGTCCTGACAGTGTACAGTTGGCCCGGTGGCCTCTTTAGCTCCACACATGGAGCTGCCCTCAGGGCTGAAATCACGCCTGGTGTATTTTGGGGGCAGAAAAGTTTGCAGCGGAAAGACATTTGGTTTTAGTTGGTTCTTAAAATTCTAGTTGAAACAAGGCCTCTAGGCCCAGCATAATGGAGTTCTGGGCAGCTGGACCTCACCCTCCTGCCAAGCGGGTGGGTGTTGCGGTGAGGGTTAGTGTGCAAGTTGCTCTGACCATGTCCTATTGGCTTTGACCCACTGTCCTCCTTTCAGTGTGAAATCAAGGTGGCCCAACCCAAAGAGGTCTATCAGCAGCAGCAGTATGGTTCTGGGGGCCGTGGAAACCGTAACCGAGGAAACCGAGGCAGTGGTGGTGGAGGTGGAGGTGAGTGGAACCTGGATGAAGATGGGTCTTGTTCCCTGCCTACATGGAGCCTTTCCATGCCTGGCCTGGGCCGTCCTTTGGTCTCAGGCCCTCTGCAGCGGGTGGGCTGGCAGTGAGTGGGGGCAGGACAGGAATGGCAATGGTACTCCTGGGTTCAGGCTGTGCTTGGGGCTGTTGCCACCCTCGGAGTGGATGAGCCCTTTCTCGCGTGGCTTGGGGCCCAGGGCAGAGGGGGCGTTGATGTTGCACTGTGGTGCGGGGCACGATGTGTCGTGGCCCTGTGGCTGTCCTCTTGCTTGAGTCTTGGTGTACCTGTGGGTAGGTGGGCAGAAGGGTAGGGCAGAGCTGTGCCAGGCGCTTACCTCCTTCCATCCCAGGCCCCTCTGACTCCAAAGCCTGAACTGTCATTTTAAGGCCAGGCTGCCAGGGAGGGTGGGGATGATAAGTCTGAGTTGAGTGAACTGCTTTCTTGGCCCCCCCCAGTAAAGTTAGTCTCCTGGTCTCTTGATCTTGATCCTCCAGCTTGGGTCTCAGGTGCAGAGCTGGGCCCAGCACCCCAACAATAGCCTCTTGGCTTCTGCCTGAGTTGCCATAGTAACCCCGCCACCCAAAGGGCAGGATCTCCTCCATCCTAGCTCCTGCGTGTGCTAAAGGGCCCATGGGCCCCTGTGCCCTGCTCCCCCCACAGGAGTCTGGGTGTACCTGTGGGTAGGTGGGCAGAAGGGTAGGGCAGAGCTGTGCCAGGCGCTTACCTCCTTCCATCCCAGGCCCCTCTGACTCCAAAGCCTGAACTGTCATTTTAAGGCCAGGCGGCCAGGGAGGGTGGGGATGATAAGTCTGAGTTGAGTGAACTGCTTCCTTGGCCCCCCCAGTAAAGTTAGTCTCCTGGTCTCTTGATCTTGATCCTCCAGCTTGGGTCTCAGGTGCAGAGCTGGGCCCAGCACCCCAACAATAGCCTCTTGGCTTCTGCCTGAGTTGCCATAGTAACCCCGCCACCCAAAGGGCAGGATCTCCTCCATCCTAGCTCCTGCGTGTGCTAAAGGGCCCATGGGCCCCTGTGCCCTGCTCCCCCCACAGGTCAGAGTCAGAGTTGGAATCAGGGCTACGGCAACTACTGGAACCAGGGCTACGGCTACCAGCAGGGCTACGGGCCCAGCTATGGCGGCTACGACTACTCGCCCTATGGCTATTACGGCTACGGCTACGACTACAGTAAGTAGGAGAGAGGGAGGCCCGTCCACTCACCCACCAGGGGAGGCAGGAGAGACAGTGCAGGGGCCACTGGCAGCAGGGACTTTGGAGTCAGACAGGCCTGGCTCAGCCATTGGAGCTACTCGGTTTTGTGCTCTAGACTGGGGGCCTCTGTCAGGTGGGGAGTAACCCCTGAGGTACCGAGCTGTCGAGGGTCCAGCGAGGATGCATGTCAAGCGCCTGGCACAGGGGAAATGTCAGAAAGCAGTAGCTGCTACCGTTGTTTTTGTTCCCAGGTCAGGGTAGTGCAAATTACGGGAAGAGCCAGCGACGCGGTGGCCATCAGAATAACTACAAGCCGTACTGAGGTGGCGCAGGAGCGACTGGCTGACCTCCCGGCACAGCTGTGTTTGGATATGGAGTGAACACAATTATGTACCAAATTTAACTTGGCAAACTTTCTATGGCCTGTCCCATGTGCATCTTATTTAAAATTTCCCCCTGGAAATCACTCTCCTGTTATTACTGTTTCCAGAGCTCTAGTTGTTCAGGCAGCGTGTGGCGTCTCAGGCCAGGGCAGCACTGTGGGCTGGTTTTACTAGCGGGATGCCCAGCACCGGGGGAGGGTCTGATTCCTGTTCCTGCTCTGCAGCCTGGACCTGCGGACCCTGGTTGTAAAGAGTAAACCGTATCCTAGGAAACCAGTGTCACTTTTCACCTTTTAATTTTATATTATTTGTGTCATACATTTCCTGTAACGGAAGTGTTAATTTTACTGTACTTTTTGGTACCTTTTGGGAATCTAATGTATTGTAAGGTATTTTACACGTGTCCTGATTTTGCCACGACCTGGATATTGAAGCTATCCAAGCTTTTGAAATAAAAATTTAAAAACCCCCAAGCCTGGGTGAGTATGGGATATGCTGTGTGAGTCGGGATGCTAGATGCTCAGACTGGGTCCTCTGCTTACAGCAGGCTCCGTCGGCCCAACTGTGTTTGGTGGGGTGTAGCTTGGAAGGACTTTGAGGAATTGCCACTGCTTGTTCCGAGTTATGGACTCCATGACCCAAGTGTCCTGTCAGGCATAACCACACACTTCCACATCCTGGGTCAGTGCCCCTTTAAAGAAAAATTGCTTTTGAGAGGCAGCAGCTGGGTGAGGGTAAAGATGGTGGCCAGGCCAGGAATGTGGCCCCCAGGGTAGAGTCTCTGAGGCACCCGAGAACTCTCAATTGTCTGCTAACAAGGAAAATGGGATTGTTTTTGTGTTTGTTAGTGAGACCCTGAATGTACAGGTCAGGGAGGGGGGCTTGGTGACTTAAGCTCACACACAAGTGTCCCTGGTTGGTACAGGAAAGCCGTTTCTGGCAGGGGATGTTCGCTGGCTGGATTGGAGCACCCCAAGATTGGTAGTTGGGGGTTTAAGACAAACTGGTTGCCAGGAGGCAACAGCAGGCTGGGATTCCAGGTGGTTACCAGTTCATTTTTCCTCCTAGAAGGAACTGGCCAAGGTAGGAAACATCTTTTGCCACAGCCGCACCGCAGCCATCAAATGCCAACCTAAGAGTTTGGGGCTGTGGGTAGACAAGCTCTAGGGTAGCCAGAGCCTGAAGAAATGAGCCTGTGGAACGGGATATGGTAATTTTTTTTAAAGAGATTTGCTATAGGGCCCATGTGCTGGCCAGAGAGACCGAAAGTGAGAAAGAAAGAACCCCCTGGGGGATGGCCAGTCCCTTCTCCATTCTCGGGATTTGGGGTATGCATGCACATGTGCCTGGCATGAGTTTTAAGCCAGGGGACTCGAACCTCAGTCAGCCATGTGGGGATCCATCGACGTAACATTGTGCCCTCTGCTGGTCCCACAATTCAGATGTTTAAAACAAAGCTTGCGCTTGCTGAGGTGCCATACTGCTGATGGGGCCCTCACCCGGGGAGGCTTGCCCGGGCAGGGTGGGTTCAGGCCTGGAGCCTCAGTGTTTCGCAGCTTCTCATTGTCTTTTCCATGTCTGGAAGAGACCACAAAGCCACCCTCTGGGTCACTCCTCCCACATGGATGGGCCACCCGTCACAGCAGCAAGTTCCGCACAGCACAAACAGCCCTCCGCTTTCTGACTCGTCACCTCTGCTTCCCCAGGATCCCCAGGAATACAGTTCTCCCACTTCACACTGTCTCTAGTAGACCGGCCTCACCCCCAGTTTACGTACCCGTGGGCAGCAGAGAAGCCAGGACAGAAGGGCAGGCTTGCCAGCTGACCACATTGACCCCTGCAGTGGGCAGTTTTACCTGCCTGAGGTCTCCCAGAGTTCTGTGTGGAGCACAGCCTTTGCACACAGGTGTGGCCAGTGCAGTAGAGGTTTCTGCAGAAGTGGGTTTAGGGGAGACCCTGGCCGACCTGCACTTTCCTAGGTGGGAAAGCCTAGGGAGTTCTATTTTGCATGCATTTTAGTGCCCATCTCAGCCACTCAGGGTGACCGTGACCCTTGGCTCAAACGTAGGTGAGTCCATGCCCGTTGCTCAGAGTGGCTTTGTGGACACGTACTGGGATTTTTGGCTCCTGTTGCCCTGACGACCGCCCTCCCAGGCCTGGTCTGGCCCTTCTCCCCTTGTTATGTGCCCCACATTGCTGCTCGCCCAGGCAGGCTGGCCGGGACCCTGGTCTCAACTGCTCAGGGCTCAGGAAGCTTGAGCACAGGCAGGGATGGAAGGCCAGGCCAGGAAGGCCCATTGCAGAGCTGCTGCACCCTCCCCTGCCTGGAGGAGCCCTGGCTCAGCTGGTGAGCTCTCCCACCCACCCTCTCCTGGCACTTCTAGCTACTGGCTCCAGCTGGCTCTGGAGGCAGTTCAGGGACTGGACTCACCTGTCAGAATGGCATCCAGCTTTGCTGCCACATGTCGCGCATTGTCCAGGCTGAAGCACATCGGAGGCTTAAACTTTAGGACATTCCTCCCAGGGCCATCAGTGCTGAGCAAAATGTAATTCTCCTTCAGCCTGTGAAGATGGGACACACTTAGAAGGCTTTCAGCCTGGTCCCAGCCTCATGCCCATGGCATGCATTGCTGCTCTCACCCCTGCCTAAGTCCAGCTTATCTGTCGCAGCACCAACTGCCTGCCATCCTTGAGGATGGGCCTTGCCTTATTTATCCCTGGGCTTCCCCGGTTTAAACCAACAGACCACAAGAAGAATCACTTCCATTTCCATTTTTGTACAGTTTATGCAACATGGATCATTTTTATACGGGGAATGTCCCATGTTACAGGGCCAGCAGGTGGTGTGGTTAAGGCTCTGGATTCCCTTTATGGCCAACTGGTTTGAATCCTGGACCTAGTGGCTTGAGCACCAGGCTTGTGTAATGTGCCCAAAGTCTCAAGAACAGAATGGAGAAGGAATTGCAAGGCAGCTGTCCCCGCGCCCCCCTTGCCCCCCGCGAGGGTGACATGATTTCTCTTCCTGTTTCTCACCATCTGGCAAGCACTCATACCCTATAGCAAAAATCTCTCAAAAAGAAAAAAGCATTACGACAAGGGTAGTGAGCTTTGTGTCCTCATTGGCTCCAGTAACTTCTGCCCTGGCTCTGATGTCACCTGGCAATCCCAGACAGGACTGCTCTCTCTCTTTTTTTTTTTTTTAAAGAGATTTTTGCAATAGGGTTTGTGTGTTCTCTGGAGATGAAGAAGGCGAGAGAAATCAGTCCAGGGGGGATGACCACACTGCAATCCCTTCTCAACCCACAGGATTTGGGGCATGCATGCACATACACACCCAGTGTTTGAAGCTGCTGGGCCTGGGACCTGAACCACAGTCAACTATGTGGGAGTCCAGCGATGTAACCATTATGCCATCTGCTGATCCCAGGACTACTCGTTTTAATTTTTTTAAAGAATAATTTTATCATTAAAAAAAAAAATTGCTACAGGGCATGTGCAATCACCAGAGACAGAGAAAGTGAGAAAGCAAGTTGCCAGGTCCAGGACTCAAACTGCAGCTGACCATGTGGGAGTCTGTCACCTTAACCACCACACCACCTGTTGGCCTCAGGACTACTCATTTTAATTTCCTGTACTTAGGAGGCCTTTACCTTAACATTAACTTGTATTTAAGAGTAATTTTCTTTCTTGGAGAGGTTTTTGCTATGAGGCGCGTGCACTTGCCAGAAAGAGACAGAGAAACGAAAAGCGAGAAATCACCCCCCAGGGGGTTGGCCACACTGCAATCTTTTCTCCATTTTCCTTTAGGGATCTGGGCACGCACGCACACAAGCCTGGTGGTTCGGGTCTGGGACGCAAAACGTTTGCTACATGAGAGTCCAGCAACATAGCCATTACACCACCTGCTGGTCCCTTAAGAGTAATTAAAATAAAAAATTATTTAACTTTATTTTTAATTTGGCCAGAGAGGAACAGAGAAAGTGAGAAACCAAGCCACCGGGTCTGGGACTTGAACTACGGTTGGCCATGTGGGAGTCCAACACCCTTAACCACCACGCCACCTGCCAGCCCCAAGAGTAATTTTTAACCTACTATAAGGCATTTGGATGGAGAAGAGGGGTCTGATGGGATTGTATTTACATCTGATTCCCGCCCTCCTGCAATTTTGCTGTAGCGTGTCTGTGCCTGCCTGAGGGCGGGCAGAAGGAGAGGAGAAATCGGGAGATGGTCACAGCATAATCCCCTTTCTACTCAGGATTTGGGGCATACAGGCATGTGTGTCCAGTGTGGTTTTTCAAACTGCTGTGTCTGGGACTTGAACTGCAGTTGGCCATGTGGGAGTCCTAGCCTTAGCCACCACACCTCTGTCTGGCTTTTTTTTTTTTTTTTTAAAGTATTTTAGCCTTAGGGAGCATTGGGGGTTGGGAAGGCTGGGGAGAAACAGTGAAGAGGGAAAGTGAGAAGTCACCTCCCAGGGTGGATGGCCACAGTGTAATCCCTTATCCATTCTCCCTGATCTTGGGGCAAGTGCGCACGTGCACGTGCACGCGCACGCACACGCACCTGTGGTTTTCAAGCCGTGAGTTCAGGACTCGAACTGTAGTTGGCCACTGGGAGTCCAGTGACAGAACTACTGTGCCATTTGCTGGGCCTTCTGCCTGGCTTGCTTTCATTAGGGAGCATGGGTGCCTGTGCGTACACCCAGCATCTGGCCACACCGCAGCCCCTTCCTCCCGCCTCTGTCTAGCCCGCTAGCTCTCGGCACTTCCGTGTGCCCCACTGTGCTGCTGGCTGGCTGGGCTAAGGGTTTGAATGGCACTTGCCACGTTGAGTCCGGCCTCTTGAGCAGCACGGTATTGCAAGGCCACAGGGCAGGCTCTCGTCTCTGCTGTGAGACTCAGTCTGTGGTCCCCAGGCCAGCCTGGGGCAGTTGAGGATTCAGGCATGGGACACTGCCTGGCTTTTAGGTCTGAGCAGGTGTTAACCCTAGGCCTCTTACGTGGCCTTGGCCTGCAGAGCAGAGCACGAAACGTGTGGGCCACTGAGACCTTCCTCAGTCTGCTCTGGCTCCTTTCCCCAGCCCCAGCACTGAGCAGCCATGACAGGACAAAGTTTGGGCCCCAAGGCCTTGTGGTTAAGGGAGCCGGATACCATATGGTTGACGCCGTGGTTCGTCCTGGACATGGAGGCTTGAGAAACACGCCAGGGAAGGGAGTGGTGTGTGTGTGCACGCATGCTGTGTGCATGTATGCTCCCAGTCTCCACGGGGTGGAGAAGTGGAGGCGGGAGTGCAGAGATTGCTTTCTCTGGGGAGTGCACCCTCCAGGAAATCTGAACAAACAAGCGAGGTCTGGATTCCGGAGTCTGACAGCTGTGGGGCCAAACCCAGCTCTCACCTGGGAAGGCGACCGCAGGTAAAATGCCCGCCTTGCCCCAGCGCCATCTCACTGAACTGGAGCAGCCACTCCAGGCCCTGTGAGGCCAGAGGTCGGGGGTCTCTGCTATGCCCCCACTGTTCTGAATTCAGGGGTGAGGTTGCTGAGGGACCGGACTGAGCAGCTGAGGAGGCTGGGTGAGCCAGCCTGAGGCCAGACCAGCCTCTCACCCTGCCTGGGGGAGTCAGTACTCCGCACAGGAGCATGCAAGTGCAAGCATGTTTCACAAGGCGAATGAGGACAGCCCGACACCCTCACTGGAAGGGCTTCCGTGGTGGTGGGGTGGGATGAAAGGCGGCACTTAAACTGGGAAGGAGCTCTGAGGCTTCGGCTGTTGGGTTCAAGCGAGAAGAGCAGACCTTCCCGCGTGGCTTCACTCTGGCACTGAGTGTCTGGACACGCCTGCCCGGACAGGGGCAGGAGTCCTGCCGCCTGAGCAGCCCTTCGCCCTTGGGTGTGATGGAGAAGCCGCCCTGTCCAGCCTGCAGGCGGACAGCAGCAGGGTTGCTTGGGCCTGAGCGCCTGCTAGCGTTAGCACTCCAGCACCAGAGGGAGCCTGGGCTGCCAGGCCCTGCGTGGAGAACCGATGGAGCCTCTCGCTGCCCCTCGCTCAGGCTCAGGGCTCAGCCTAGGCTTTGCGGCAAGGCAGCTATGATCCCTGTCCCAGGGCAGCCTAAGCAATACCTGGATACCAAGTAGTCGGCCTCTTCGGTCGCTGGTGTCCTCGTGGCCGCATCTTTGATCAGATCCACACCAATGAAGAGCCCGACACCCCTGGAGGAGGAGACACTTGAGGCTGGCCCAGGGGACCATGGTCCTTGCCTTCACCCTGGCCTGTGCCTTCCAGGCCCCTCAGTGGGAAGCCTACCAGGCTGCTTGTGCCTCCTGGGGAGACGTACCCGGGGCCTCTAGGAGTGAGCATTTCAGGAACTAGCTGGCACGTGCGGAGGAAAGAAGTTGGGGACCAGCACTTTGAGTCCTACATCTGGTGGCTTAGGACTCATGCTATGGAGAACCAGCAGTTAGCGTAATGGCTATGTTGCTGGACTCCCACGTAGTCGACCGCGGTTCACGTCCCAGACCGGGTGACTTAAAACTCACGCCGGGCGAGTGTGCCTAAGATCCCGAGAGGAGAATGGAGGAGAAGGGATTGCGGCATGACCATCCCCCCTGGGGGTGATTTCTCGCTTTAGAATGGAGGAGAAGGGATTGCGGCATGACCATCCCCCCTGGGGGGTGATTTCTCGCTTTCTGTCTCTCTGTCTCTGTCTGGTGAGCGCACGCACCCTATAGCAAAAACCTCTCCAAAAACAAAAACAAAACACTCGTGCTATGTGTGTGCATGCCTGCCCGTGAAGGAGAAGGGGTGCACCTGGCCTTCCCCCAGGGGATGGAGGGGTAATTTCTCACTTGCTCATGGTGTCTATCTCTCCAGGGAGCACAGGCACCCTATGGCAAAAAGCTTAAAACATTCCCACCGTCCTGGACCAGCAGGTGGCACAGAGATCAAGTCCTAGACGCTGTGGCTTGGAAATCATGCTGGTACGTGGGTGGGCATGTGTGCCCAAACCCCAAGAGGAAAATGGACGGTGTGGCCGTTTCTCCCTCAAGTGCAGGGGCCCTATGGCAAAAAATCTTAAGAAAAATTCCCACCATCCCACGAGGTTAGAAAATGAAAGAAAGACAGCATGCTGGTCTGAAGGTGCGTGGTTAGTGGGTGGTGGCCGCCCCAGCCTCACCTGACGTCCCCAATGATGGGGTGTTTGGCTTGCTGCTGCTGGAGGAGCCCCATCAGGAAGCCGCCCACACAGCTGGCATGAGCCTGCAGCTGCTCCTTCTCCAAGACATCCAGGACAGCCAACCCTACAGCACAGGACACAGGGCTGCCCCCAAACTGGGTCGGGGGCAGAGAGGTGTCAGACGCCCACCAGGGAGTGCCATGGCGTGTCCACAGTACTGGCCCCGGGACCCTCGGGCAGTCACACCCACACTGGACACAAAGATTTAAAGCAAAGACAAAATTCCAGGAGCTTAGAGAAACGGCTGATCATAAAAGGAGGACCAGAGACTTGGGGTGACAATGGCAGAGTAGGACACACCCACCCTCTCTTCTGTAACAGCAACAGCTGCAACAAGGATAGTCAAGCGTTGTAGCAATGAGGCTGGAGGGAGAGTGGACTTGAACCTTCCTTAAAGCTCCGCTCCCGGGGAACTGTCACTGACCGTGAGGGCCCCGGCAAACCTATGCAGGCTGTAGTGACTCGGCCCGTGACTTGCCTAGCAAGGGCAGCCTTCTTCTCTCACGATACTCGTGTGACCAATGTGGCTACTGGGAGAGGGGTAACTGTTGGGGTGCAGGCTACAGGATGAACGAGGTGTCTACAGGGGCTTTAGGGATCTGGAAGGCCACTCAGGGGCAGGGATATGCTCCCACTGGCTCCCTCGGCTCCGCGGTGCAGAGCGAAGGCTGGGCGAAATCGACTGTGGTACTGAGAACACAGGAGGGCACCGAGGTGTGACGGGCAGACGTGGGCAGGCACGGGTTATTGTCAGAGTTAAGAGACTTGTTATAGAGCACGTGCACTCACTGGAGAGACAGAGAGAAATCACCCCCGGGGGATGGCCACACCGCAATCCCTTCTCCTCCATTCTCCTTGGGATCTTGGGCACGTGCACACGTGCCTGGTGTGAGTGTTAAGCCACCGGGTCTGGGACTTGAACCGTGGTCAACTATGTGGGAGTCCAGCGACACAGCCATTACACCAACTGCCAGTCCCAAAGTTCCTACCTTTTATTTGGGATGATGGCTCCCCGGCTGCTAATGACACTAAGAAAGTAAGTACTTCGCTGATGAGCTAGGAGAGGGCCACGCAGGCCACGAGAGCCCACGAGAGGAGGCTACATTTCATCTCACTGCATGCCCTTGAGGTTCAGGTGAAACAGAGATCAGGCCATGTCCCACTGGGCGCCGCTGTCCCGGGACACAGCCCCCTCCCTCACAAGGCCACCTCCTGCCCCGCTGTCCAGACTGTAAACACTCCTCTCCCGTTAGCTTGCCCACAGCCCCATGCCCATGTCTGTGGGCACAACTTCCCTCAGCACTCAGCTCGTCCACTGACACTGTCACCTGGTGCAGTGACGGTGCTGCGGGCGCCAGTCCGGTCATGCCCTCGCCCTTAGCGCCCTTCCCTGCTTTCTCACCCTGTATCAGTCCCCAGTTCTAACCGGCTGTCTTGGAGGAGACAGCGAGCTTCTCACCTCTGCCCCTTCCCCCTGCCTGCACTGGGCTCTCTACCTCCAGCTCTCGCTCTGTGCTGACAGCCAGAGATCTCTCTCCATGACAAACCCTCCCCCAGTTCCTCACTGCCTTCAGGGTCAGTGCAGACTCCCCCGCTTTCCAGCCTGGTTCCTTCCCCCCCCCCACTGC